CCTGCCCACAGGCAGAAGCAAGCGCTGCCGACCTCTGCCGTGCCCTGAGCGTGTATGTGCTGCCCCATGTCACAGGATCAGGGCGGACGTGCGCGACTGTCGCGGCTTCAGATCCGAGTTGAATGTCGCCGCCACTTTTGCGCTGGGGCCCGGCCTGGCCTGGCCGTGGGGGCAGCGAAACGTGCCGCGGCCGTGAAGCGCCGCTGGCTGATAAGACCTGCCGCTCTGCCCGTTTCGATCGTACGGCGGGCGATCTGGCACGTGCCATGGAACGCAGGCCGGTGCGAGGGGCCACTGAAAATTCGGTCGGCGCCTGTGCATACGTTGCCCCGTATACATACTGAAACAGTTCGGGTGTACCTACAGTACAAAGGGAGCCCATCTAGGACGGTAGGACGTGTGCGTGGTGTGGTAGGGGAATCCGGCAATGGTCGGCCGTCGCCCGTCGGCACCAAGTTAAGCCGTACCATCTGCCTACAGTTCGCCAGAGTGATATACTGCTAATAGTACTAGCATGTAGGGTCAGTCACGCTCGCATCCGTCCACATTCAAGTTTGCGCGTGTACTTCGGCAGGAGTCACCGACTGACCCGTCGACAAATCGTGGGCCGTGGTAAATTACAGGTTTCTGGGCATTATTGGCACTCTTGGCCTGACATGGCACATGCTTTAATGCATCCACGACGCATCTCGCCACGCCTGTACGGAAAGGGAAGCACCGGCGCGTACGTTTGACGGTGCATGCATGTCGCAGTGTGTCAAACCCGGTAGTAGTTCATCTGCATGCATCAGCACGATAGTTCATTCTTAGGCGGCTTTGATCGCACAGAGCTGCCCGTTTAAACCAAGTGAAAAGGCCAAGATGCTTAACTATGTCTGTGCACGCTCCATGCCATTTTCAAGTTGAGCATAAGGGCATCTCCAGCCGTTGGCTCCGCAGGAGAGGCAAAAAATCGTCCCCTGAGGGCGTATCGGTGCTAAACCGCGCACTGGGGGCGTGATGCCCCTAGTCGCGTCCCACGGGTCTTTAAAATATTTAAATTCGGTGCAAACACAACGTAAACACGTTCGAGTTCGTTCAAATTTAAACATATTTTACAAAAAAGAAAA